ATGTGTATGTGTGTATGCGTGTGTATGTGTGTACGTGTATATGTGTGTGCAAATGTGTGTGTCCATCTCTTGTACTTTGAAGCATTTATGTAACATATGATGATATTGGTATCATAGCGTATTTTTTATTCTATATATCTTCATTTATCTATTATTTTACAATGGAAAGAAAGTTCCCCAAAATATAAAAAAGTTCTCGAACATACATATATACATACATACATACATCCCTGCCTAACTTCTCACTTAGAACTCATTTTCTGCTGAGTGATATGTATATAATCCCTTCCATGGTATCTGCTATCATTTCTAACCTTGATCTCCACAAAGCATGTGAACCCGATGGTATCCCTGTAATAGTCATTAAGAAGTGTACTCCCGAACCGGCTGCTGTTTTCTCTAAACTGTATAATATAATATCTCACTGCCTCCTGCTTTCCTGTTTGCTGGAAGTCATCATCTGTTCTTCTAGTTCTTAAGAACTCTGGCGAACCATCCAACCCATCCAACTATCGGCCTATTAGCTTTCTACTTCTCTTTTGGGAAACTCAAAGAGGCCCTAATCAATGCTAAATTGGTTCATCACCTCTCCTCGTTGGGCCTTTTCTCAGACGAGCAATACGACTTTCGTTTCTCCAGGTCAATATATAATAGAAGCCATCACTTTCACTTGTGTTATTAAATGATCAAGATCAGGAATAAGATCGACTTTACGTAATTACTTTGAAAATCAGCAGTCGAGTTTAAGGGCTAATGCACTGGTGCAACTGCCTCAACCACGATACACATAATTACTCAGTTTCTTCATTTTCCCATTTGATATAAAAAATGAATTCACTGAAATAAAACAGAAAAGAACAGAATTAATTTTCATGCTTTAAAACCTGAAATCTACGACGCCCTCCCCATATTTTAAATTTTCTCTTTCGACTCATGCCAACTGGGCACTAAATTGAACTGTCACCCGGCACGGAGCAAAGCAGATTGGTTTAAGTGCTTTGTTCTCTTACCATTACTGAACCACGGAGTTTTTCCAAAGAGGTGGAAAGGGCGTGAAATGATTTGGACACGAAATTGATTGTTTGATGAGAAATTAAAATAATATTATGTCTCTCTTTTTCTTTCTCTTAATTCCTCTTCTCGTTTTGTTGCTTTAAGTTTTTTTTCCATTTTCTCTTTCTTTTAAAATTAAATTTTAATAATTTCGAGTTTTAGTCAAGTACAGAATGAATAAATGGTGATTATATAATGCTTACCTACCTTGAGAATTAGCAGGTGAGATAATGGTTTTTACTAAAGCGCATACACTGTTAAAAGGTATGTTCAACTTTTTAGTATTCGATTACTCCTTTTATTTTCATTCTGTGAAGAATGTAATCTTGTGTTGACGTGTTGCCTCGAAGAAACAAGTCTGATGTCTGTTATGCCTTTAAGAAAACGTATAAGAATATGAAGTAAGGTAAAAAGTAATATTTATTTTTTGTTTTCTCGCCTCTAGAATATCTTTATTGTGTTCCTCACTTGAAAGATATAAAAAAGAAGTTTCTCTATGTAAGAGTTTCATAAACATAAAAAAAACAAGGTTATACTTTATGCGTCACCTTCTCGAAACACTGGACCTGGAGAATAAATTAAAACTTTATAAAACGAAACAGGTATATTTACCCCCCCCCAAGGTCGTCTAAACGTGGGGAGCGCAATACGCATTTGCATTCAAATTTACAACATGTGTTTTGGTCAACTTACCGGTTAATCTTTAATTTTCATACTTACCTTTAAAATAAGTTGTTAAAAATAATTTTTTGTTATTTATTTCCAGTCTGTTGTTTTGTGATATTTACAAATAACATTTTGTTGACGGCTTTATAATTGAATAGCTGAGCTATTCAAATAAAGCCATTTTCTCTCCGAAGCATTTAAATTATCGCTTGTGATGAAAGGGAAGTAAACAATGGTCATATTTTCATGATTATATTTTAAAATGCTGACAAATGTTATAAATTATAATATTATAAAATCTCGTATATAAAATAAAGGAAAATCAAAACGTTTAAACTTATTGAACTGTTTTAATTGCAATAATTGCACCAATAGATTTTTACGGTAGTTGCAAATTTCTCAAAGAATTATCGCGAAACGCAGCAGAGCAAAGAAACAAGAACTGACCAACAAATAGGCAAATATCAATGCTAGTATATATATATATATATATATATATATATATATATATATATGTGTGTGTGTGTGTGTGTGTGTGTGTGTGTGTGTGTGTGTGTGTAAAATAATAATGAATATACATTTTTCTTCATCGGTCGCAAAACATGCATGATACAATCGTCAGATGTTGATTGCAAACTGAGCGTTGTATAATTTAAATAGTGATATTAAACATTGCACGGTTGATAAAACATAATCATGAAAATAAAGAAAGAGGTTTGCTATATCAATATTTAAATTTTGCAATGTCCAATTTTTAATCAGCGCCTGACGATTGCATTGTGCATGAAATTCAGAGTTGTGCGAACGGTGAAGAAAAAGATGTATATTTTTAATTAATATCATTATCCTACAATCCTCAGTCATTCTGGAGAGTTTCATGAATTCCTAACTCGATTTCACGGTTCTTAGAATTATCGTCACTTCATGCTCAACAATACTCTTAGTTCTCATGTCCAATTATTTTCCAGTGATTTGCTTCCTTTCCTTTTGTCCATTTTTACCGTCTGGCAAATCCTTTTTTTCCATGTTTTAATCGCGGAGTATAACTGTCTGGAGAATATTTTGTTCTTTTTATTTTACAGGACTGCCATTGATTTATGCTCGTGCCATTATGTTCCATCTTCAATTATTTTGCACAGTTCCCAATCTATCGCTCTTCCTACTCTGTCATACTTTTTCAGCCTGCTCCTTGTATTCATTTATGTGGTTTACACTAGTTTCTTTTTCGTCACAAACGCTTTTTACTTGTCAATTTTCAGTTTGATATAATTAGTAATGAAGCATCTGTTTTGAGATGCCAATGTTACACTTTTCATGTCTTTTGGGAAACCATATACCATATTTTAAATTATTTATGGAGAAATTTCTCTTTCCATTCTTCTTTCTTACATTTCTCACGGTTCCAGCTTTTGTGTTTGTGGGAAGGGATTGATGATAATGGAAGCTGATTCGTCATGCTTCCGATTTTTGTTAAACTTCACCGAGGATCAAGTGACAACAATCACAATTCTCCTCAGTATTCTTGCAGGATATCAATGGGCAGCATGTCTCCTCTAGACAACAGAAATCCTTAGTATCTCGTCGCTTTTAACAATAGTGTTTGAAAACGTTTGAAAAATTATAGTTTTCAACCTATAATTTTCCAAACGTTTTGCTTGTGTCTTCTGGATTGTTCTCTATTCTCTAATTTATTCTCCATTTTTACAATTTTCTTCGTTCCCAAGTTAGAATTTGATATTTTTCAATTGTTCACACTTTTCTGTGGACAGCTAGAATCGTGTCGAGGCGGTAAGATTTCTTTTCTTTGTTTCGTAATCCGGAGAAGAGAAGACTTATAAATTTCATTAAATTTTATTTTGTTACCATTCTCTATGACGATTGAAATACTTTGTTTGTATGGCAACAAAAAAAAAATTACTGGTTGCATCGTTATTAATTAAAAGAGTTCAGCTGTGTCGCCATTTAACCTATAACCGATTGTATGTTGGAGTGGGTAAAAGAAATGAATCGATGCATTTTTCAAAAGCCATCATTTTACTTGTTGGAAGAAAGCAAACTAACATTTTCTGCACTTCCATACAGACTTTTTGCAAATTGCATTGTTAAAACTGATATGTAACGTCAGAAAAACTTAATCTTTTTTTTTTTTTTTATTGTGGTCGGAGTTACAATAAGAGACCCGAGAAGAATGACAAGATAAAAAAATGAAATAGGGTTCATAAAAATGTTCACTTGTAATGACGCTTTTACTGAAATGTATATAGATTTTTAAATGGATGCATATCTTGTTAGAATTGTTTTCTATATCTTAATTAACTCATGCACTATTTTTAAATTACAAATATCAACACTGAAATATCCACAGTTCCTTATTTTATTTTGTTAACAGTCTGTTTGACCCATTAAGCTATCGACATGCCAAAGGATACATAGTTATAGTTTTATTCCTCGACTTTTTTAACTGTGCGCACACTTTGACTTAAAATGATTCTTGCTACCAACCGTCAACCCCGTCTTCAACCCCCTCTTCAACCCACGTCTTACCAAATTCTTTCCTTTCCCCACCCACCGAATCTGTTCCATCACGCAAGCAAACCCCATCCTAATCCAATAGCATGCCTAACGTTTCCTTGTTCTTGAAGACATTTAAATCCCATCTTTGCTCAGTACCAAAAGGCTGCTGATATGAGAACATTTCCGCAACAGCATAGCGATCGCACTTTCTTTTTTTCTCCCGCACCTTTTTCTCCGGCTTTCTCGTGCTGAGCGCAGGTCCTATTTCCGGTCATGCGCACTGCTGTTAATAAGTATCTTGGCGTCTATTGGGACGTTTTTGCCAACGCCAAACAAAAGACGCACCAGTAAACTCTCTCTGAGCAAGTCAGTGAAGGCTTTTCAGCAACCCTTCCAGACGCTAAGAACCTTCTTTTTCTACTTGTCTGTGTACTTATTTCAAATCATTTTAAGATTGTCAAATATGGCCGTCCCTTTCAAGAAATTTCTCTGTGCACTCGAATCCCTTTATCTTTCTATTATTCTATTCTCTCTTTTCGTTTTTCGTCTGACATGCTTTTGGCTTCTCTAAAAGACTTTTCACCCATCTCTATTGCCATTTTTTTGTCAACGATTCCACGAGTTCTTCGTTGTCGTTTTCCATTTTTATACATTGTGCGGAGTTTCCTTTCAGGCTCTGAATAACCTCTTACCATTTTTCTTTCCAGTTCCCGTGCAAAAAATCCGTTGTGCCTTTTTGTGTTTTCTTTTTCTTTTTTCCCATCAGTTCAGTCCGAATATCGAATCTGTTGCATTGTTCGTTTGAAAGAGTGAAATGGATCAGCGTAGAACAACGAGTTAAAAGGGTTTCGTAATTGAGAAAGGAAAAAAAATGGTTGAGTGTAGATGAAGTAGGAGACATGGCATCCAGAGAGAGAGAGAGAGAGAGAGAGAGAGAGAGAGAGAGAGAGAGAAACCATAGCTACAAAATCTTTTTACTATTTCGGCCAATAAAATTATCAAATAAACGTACGCGTACACACACATTAATCTGTTATTATGTGCTTTGGTATATAAGCGCTTGTAACAACACAGATAAACTTCATTTATATATCTGAATACGGATAAGAAAATGACACAGAAAGGAAGAAATGTTGAGGACAGGTGTGGGGGGAGAGAATGAGAGTGGGAGAAATGAATGGAAGCGAGAATTACTTAGTAGAAACAGTGAATACACTGAAATTGAAATGACAGGAGTTGAGAGAGAGAGAGAAAGAGAGAGAGAGAGAGAGATATTGATGAAAATAGATCAACGAGGGTAGGAGGATGGTTGTGATGAAGAAAACGAACACAATTTGGAATTTTAAACTAAAGATGTATTACGGTTTTTGCCTTGACCAACATGTTTAAGTCGTCCATTATGGCAATTTGAAGTAGGCGGGAATGTATTAATTGACAAAGTCGAAGGATGTAACAGAAAAGGGGACAGGAAGTAGCGTAGCTGCTAAAGAAAGTCTCTGGCGATACAGATGAAGAGTTGCGCTCAGATTAGAAGGAACCGGAAAGGAAGAGAATGATAGGAAAAAAGGTGAAAGAAAGAGAAAAGAGTGAAAAGGGGAAAGAAAGAAGGTGAGATCATTTTTGCTGGTCTATAATGCTTAATCATTCAAAGTAATTTTTTTTTCGTTAAAACTAGTTTTCTATGTGACAATAGCGAACGGTGGTTGTTGGTAGTATGATTCAAATAGACGTAGTGGAGGTGAAGAAGAAATTCAATAAAAAAAAGAATTGAAGTATTGTTCGGAAAGTATCCAACTCTTTTATATTGACTGTCCAGTTTTACATCACATGCAAGGTTTTTAGTAAAATATTGCACCTCCCAAATCATCTCAGTCTACACACCAGATTTAATTCCTTGTAACTCCTGATTTTTTCAATGCAAATATCACCATTGAAACTCCGTGGGCGAGATTAAGCAGAACGCAACGAAAACTCTTTTAGCGATCACTCAAAAGAACTAGCAAAATATTTTGAAAGGTCGACGGGTCTGTGGGATAGGTGTGTGCGGTTCTAAGTGGGATAGAACACTATTCTTTTAAGTAGGCTATTTTTTTATTTATAATAAAAGGCCGAGTTAAATGAGAATTTTCTTAACTGGTTTATTCTTGTGCATGGGTATTTTTTGCACGCACGTTTGTATAAAAACCGCATCTAACGTGTGTTACTGCTCCAGAAGAAGAAAACTTGCATTTAAAGTTAGGTATGCGTTTTGGAATTCGGCCATAAGTAGGCAGTAGTTTAAAGGAAACGAAAGTTATGCATCTTATATATATATATATATATATATATATATATATATATATATATATATATAGTAATTAATTGGCAGAAACACACAATTTATCAAAATTCACCATCCATGAACACTTAGTAAAGCTTGGGTACTCAAATCGCTATGATGTTTGGCTACTACATGATCTGACTGAAAAAATATGTTGTATCGCATTTCATCTGTAATTTGCTGTATAAATTCAATAAAAATGCACCCTTTTTGAAGCAAATTGTGAAGGGTGATGAGAAATAAATCGTTTACAACAATATTCAGTCAAAGATCCTTAGTAAGCAACATATGCCAACATTAGCGACCTCAAATGCAGGTCTTCATCCTAAGAAAGTCATCTGATGGGATTGGAAAGGAATTCTGTCTTATGAACTTCTGCCAAGTAACCAGTCAATTGATTCTGAAAAATAATACTCGCAAATGAACGAATTAAAGGCAGCAATTTAAGAAAAATGCCCAAAATTGACGTACAGGAAAACTGTTGCTTTCCCGGCAAAAACTGTTGTAGCTTGACTGGGATGTGTTACCCCATACGCCATTTTCACCAGACATTGCTCCTTCGGATTTTCATTTATTTAGGTCCTTGCAAAATAATCTGAATGGTAAAAGTTTTAATTATTTTGATGACATAAAAAAGCACTTTATGAGTTCTTTGCTGAGAAACCACCGAAATTCTGGGAAGATGGAACCTTAAAGTTGAAGAAAAAATGGAAAAAGGTTGTGCAACAAAATGATTCATATTTAGTTGAATAAATATTTAATAGCATAATTTTGTTTTGTTTTTTAATTTCCCTTAAAAATCGACATGAACTTTCCGGACAACCCAGTATTTTCTCTATCAGACTAATTTGAAATTTTTATACTAATGCTGTATCACGGTTTTTGCATTGGCCAACATGTTTTTAGGCATCTATCATGATAATTTGAAATAGGCGGGAATGTATTAATCTTCAAAGTCGAAGGATGTAACAGAAAAGACACATACGAATTTACTCTGAGGTATTTTTTTTAAAAGGACCAATAATTTCCATCAGTGAGTAATATTTTATTTCTGGTTATCTTGTTCATTTAGTAGCAACTGAGGAGTAAATGGAAGAGGAAGAGGCTATAAAATTGTAATTACTGCCAAAGTAGAAATTCCAATGGCTGCTATGTCGTTTATTAGTAATGATAAATGATAAAGAGTTACGACAGAGAGGAACTGTGAGGTGTCCTAGTGCTTATCAACAAATTAAAGTTGAGGTTATTTATGTTCACTTCAAACTCATCAAGATATGAAAAAAGTTATCTTTGTACTCTGTCCTAATGATATATATTAGCACAAAATATCCCGTCTCTATTTACATTTGAAATAAAAATAAGACGGGATGACCCTAAACATGGACTGCGTAACGAGAAAAATCTCACCTGTAGATTAAATGAAGGATAAAGTTCGAAATACCAGGAAAGTCATCCGAATTGTTAGACCCTTTCAGGTCAGAAGGCACAGCGGCCGAATCGTTTGAAATGTAAATAATGATAACACCTCATCCAAGAAATTGACAAAAAATTATGTCTCTTGTATGCCACGATTGTTGGCGGGAAAGCAAGTGAATAAGTGAGAACTTGGGAACAACACACTCCCATAACTCCCTGATATTCCCATAAATAAAACAAGATGTGAATTTATTGTCAACTTTGTCAAGAAGTATCTTGTGTTGGCTACAGATGGAAAATGGAAAATGGAAGTTTCGAGGAGACGAAAGTAACAATGAATTCGAGTTTGTTACTTTGTTAATACGGTAAAATCTATATATCTATATAACTACACCCAATTGAAGGAAATTTTCGTGGGCTTTTTTCTAAGTTCTCCAATCCCTATCATGAAACATTCTTATTGCAGAATGACTGGACATTCGTCAATGTCTATGACTAAATTGTTATACGATTTGTATTTTATGAAAATACCTACGTTAAAAGCCGTTTTCCCTCCTTTTTTGAAAAGTAATAGTGTAACCTTTTAATCGTAACTCTTTCCTTTTTTTTAAAACTCTAACAAAACACCTATAACTTTACAACTCACACACAACACTCTCCCAGTTCTGAGCTCTGTCACTTCTCATTTTCTTCTGTCGCTAGCCGCTAACCTCGCTAGCTTTGTTGTGTAATACTAACCTTGCATGTCATTCGGCTTTCATTACCTTCACCGGTTGGGGCCAGTGTGTCGTCTCGATACGGTTGATTCAGGTTTCCAAAAATTCTACGAACCCCTCTATGTGAACCCCTCTATGTACGTTGTTTACCATAAACAAAATTACGTAATTCCTGCTCGTGGTAAACTTTTGTCTCTTTACGTCCCAGGACAACTCCGAAATCAGGTTGGAATAAGAATTCTTTCATAAAATGCACAACACTGTTAATTATTCTAAGAACATGTTTACTGAATATAAAGAAAAATTGTTTGAATAAAATGTCTCTCTTATCTACTGCAAAATCAAATTCTTTACTGCAGGAATTGTAATTTGGAAAATCTAATCGTAAATGCTAAAATAATAACCAACCAGTCGACTCTTCCTCAATTCTTCAAAGGAATAACTAGTCTGTAAACAGTTCCTCAATTCTTCATGCGTGTCTGTATTTTCACTCGGGGAGTTGCAGGTGAGCTCTTTAGTGACTACTGCCTTACGAGTAATCCCGAGCCACTCCGAGCCGACCTCTTTTGATTAGACCCGATCTCTGATAGTGTATGTTTTCTCTCCGACCCGTGAGTTTTGCGTGTTCGCTTCATCCAATTAGTAATCCCTCCAAATAACCAATCTCCAATTTCATGTAATTAAACGTTTAAATGTGGTCAAGAATCCCCCTACTGGCTTACATGAAAATATTTTTGAATACGGGAAAATTTAAACTTTTAGTTTGAACTGAAATAAATATTCAATTTAAATACACGCACAGAAATGTTTTCATTTATTTTTCAAGCTACAGTCAAAAATATATTTTGTTAAAATTCAATTCCAGTCACTCAGTGGATTTCGTTAGACAAACCAAGCTTTATTCCCCTACTTTATTTCTGGGTTGGGAGCACGCAAGTTCTCATGTTAGACAGATTATTTCCACTATTTTAAATGAACAGAAGGTAAACATCTTCGTCATTTTTCTATGTTTGCAAGAAGAAATAGAAGAAATAAAAGAATAATTAAAAGAAATAAAAAGACTAGCTCTATACTTTCGATTTTTTGAACTGTGTATTGAGCACTTTTAAAAAAATATAACTATTTCTTGGACAAGATAAACATATACACCACACACACACACACACACACACACACACACACACATATATATAATACATACATACGCGTGCATGTGTGGAGAGATAGCGACAGAGATAATTTAAAAAAAAGACAAAGATTGGGAAAGAGCGAAGATAGAGATACAGAGACAGAAACAAAAAATGAATATTGAGGGAAAATATAGGACAGAGGATGAAAAAGGAAGAGAAAAAGAAGTTTATAAAGATCGTATTTCAGAAAGAGAGGAAGAGAGTGAAAACAAAGTAGACAGAGCGGGAGGAGAAACAGAAACGAACTCATCTGTTTGAGAGAGAGTGGGGAGTAAATGGGTGGGTAATGAAAGAAAAGGAGAAACACTAAGACAGGTAGAATTTACGAAACAGGGAAATAGAAGAAAACAGATGAAATTTTAATATTGTAAAAGAAAGTGTTGTAGAAAGAAAAATCAGTGAAAAAGAGAGAGAAGGAAAGGAAGAGGTATTAAACGCGGAAAGCTATAGGTAGGAGCAAGGAAATATGCGTGCACATTATCTATCTATCGAAGTCAGTTCACATTTAAGGCGTGAAAGCTTCTTTGCAGCCGAGAAGACATTTTTGCATCACTTTTTCTGATCTCGAGTGGTTTTAAATAGTTTTTCGTTTGCTTTCATTATAATCGACAGGTTTGTTGACAGTTTTCTTTTCTTTTTTAATTTGTTGTTTTATTCTTTCTCTCCTTATTTCTTTACAATATTTATCATTTCAAACCTTTGTTGAAAAACAAAAAAACAAAACAAGTAGGCTGGACGAACCTTAATTAAAAAACATTGTTCCGAACGAATATGATGACTGTTTTTTGAAATATTTTACTCTATCGAGTTTGACACTGCGGGAAAAGTCAACTGAGGAACAATAGAATCGCCATTTTAGGCCCGGCCTCCATAGCAAAATCTCAATTTAGTTATTCAAATTTTGTCCCCTTTTTTTTTTTTTTTTTTTTTTTTTACATTTTGCTGATATTCTCTCTTGTCACTTTCTACTTTTCTCCTTTCTCACCAATTCAAATCTTCTTCCATCCATCTCTGTCTATCATTTCCAGATTTTTAACGTTATTTATTTTCTTCATTATTTTAATTTTATTCTCATCTCCCCCTTCTCTCTCTCTCTCTCTCTCTCTCTCTTTACCTGCTTGTTGAGGAACAGTGATTATCATATCGTAGAATAGTTCGATTCTCCCTAGTGCTCTATAATTGTGGCCTTGAACCAGATTAAACTGATTCAATATTCTTTTCTAATCGTTCCATTCTAATCTGTATCTATCACCGTAGCGATATTATTTACGTCTTGTTTGCTTGTCTGTCGAGATAAATTTTTTACTAAGCTTCTCTCAGTCTGGCAGAGTTTCATTCTTAAAGTAGTCCTGAGTATTACGATAAACTACATCTAGCAGCAAGGCACTTGAGGAGCATGGAAACACCTCTTAATTGCTGTTGTTCGCTGGTCCACCCTGACCTGGTGTGGTAGCACCTGTTAGGGTCTCAGCTATCGCAAAATAGTGTCTTCAAACAAAAACAAGACATCTTGAAACTATAGAAATAGATTTTTATAGTTAAAATACCAGCAATAAATTTTTATATCTACTTAAACAACACAATACACACTGCTTCTATTAATCATGTTCACACAAAGATATATAAGCACACAAGCTGAGTATCATCTATCATGTATTCAATTGTGAAAGCAGAATAATCATATTTTTATTACTTCGAAGCTCCCAAGAAAATTAAATTTCTGCATTGAATGACACATAACGAGTTGTTATGCCATTAAACACAAATCAATCAATCTTGAATTACCCGGCAAAAATTAAATTCGTTATACTCACGCCGAGTCTTTATGACTAGCTTTCTAAACATTGTAGTTACTTATTTCTCGAAATAATTTTTTATAAGTTCCCGAACCACTTCATAAGACGTTGCTTGGTGGCTTAGACAGTTGCAGCGTTTTCTTGCAGCACGCATTTAGTCTCTCTCAGTTAGAAAATAGACACGATACAATTTTCTTATTTGCTAACAGTCAGTACATTCGCTTATAATAAAAATCTACAATACTTACAAGAGGATTTTTCTTTAAGCGTTAATGCGCCACGTTGCTATATCTTTGTGATATACACACGCTGTCAAAGTTGACACTTCAATGAGAAAGGTCCAGAATGTAGGTAATTGAGAGAGAGAAAGAGAGCAGGGAATTTGTAAAGTATGAACTATAAGAAGCTTGAATTGCTTATTTTCTAGTTGATTACTACGCGGTTAGAAGAATTGTATCTTGATCGTAAAAATATCTACGTATTTGCTGATTCTTTGGTAATAACCGTGCTTTCAACTGTGCTTATATTGGATCTCCTTATAGCCAACTATTTTACTATTTAATTAATTTCTCTTTTTAATATGTCCTACAAGGTATGAGAAACAGTTTTTTAACAGCGAAACCGCCATCTTAACTTCACGAGATCATTACAGTAAATGTACCAGATTCAGTATTCGTGACAGTCCTTTCTATTTACAACTCTGTAATGTTCCTAGGACCAAAAAGAGACACCTGCATATCCTTGTTACTAAAAAAGTAATGAAAAAGTAATGTTGCATTTTTGGAGTGGCAATAGAAACGTATTAAACTATAAGGGAAATTATATTCATCAAGAAAATATAAATCATTATTATCCGTAGCAAAATTCCATTTAAGAAATCTGCTATTTTATTTGAAAATAATTCTGATAAATCTGCAATGATCTCTTTCCAACTTTTAAATAAGTTACCGTGAATAAAGTTTTCATATGATATAATTAACAGGTTTTCTTACTAGTCTCAGCCGGTCAAGTTAGAAAGACGTAAAATAACCTAAACTAATCTTTTGAACTTCTGAAATTATTGTACTGAATGTAAGCTTTTCTTTTTGTCTTTCTCATCATTTGTGTAGAACAGGGCATTTATGAAGTAAATCTTCACTCATTCTTCATAATAAAAATCAACTGTGTTTGTTTTGTTTTACCTTATTCTAGGGGTTTGGGATAGGCGAAACTTACCATATTCATGAAGATATAAAATTATGGAGATTTGATTTAAATGATGAGAAATGATTTGTTCACAATCCCAGATTCTATCAATAAAGATTAAAAGACTTACATTCCTTTTGAGCTTTTGCCGCCATTAATCCTCATTATGATTAACAGTTTAACAAATACATTTAGCATTTATTACATTTGAATGGGTTTTTATTCCTTATCCAATATTACGACATTGCTTTCTATAAAACCTCTTGGTTAGTTTTCAGTGTTTGCACTTTTATGGATATTTAATCGAAATTGTCAATCTGTGAAACTTATCAGTTTCCCTTTAATAATTCGTACGATTATTCAATAAAATTACTTGTTGAAGTAGCAGTTTAGTGAATTCGATTCTGCTGATTACCGCATACCTGCGGCCTTGTGCCGGACAAAGCTAAGTTTAATAAATACCCATAATGCTCTACGGGTGACATAAGAGCGAAAAGGTTGCTGTATTTGTATTTACGCAGTACTCTGGCATAAATCCATCGTTGGCAGTGAGGATCGATTTAGCGACACAAATGGATAATCTGTGGAAATAGCTTGTTAGCCATAGCATTACAGTAGGCGTCAAATGTAAGAAAGTAATTTATATATTTCGATCTATCTATATACATATACAATATATATCTGTTTATAAGGAGGGTAAATAATATATGTTTAGGGAGCAGTCATTTTTTAATAAATGTTTGATTAAAGACGATAGATGAAAAAATATTAACTTGTCTTGTTTACATACAAGAGAAAGTGTGTCTGGATTCAATAAATATACAATATTGTTCAAATGTTCGTGATATAGGGCTTTTGGCTATACTTCTGGCTATTATCAAGACTAGAGAAAAAGTACTGATGCGATTCTTTAAGTTTTTATATAATTTTAAACTCCAAATTATAGCGAATCTGCAATATAATGAGATCGCAAACAAAAGCGGCAGACAAGCGAAATTCTTCATCCCATCTGTAGCTGTTAAATACATTTTAAATTTTACTTTCAAAATTGAAGATATTAGATTTCGATTTCTTCATTTTATAACAAAGGCTTTCAAGTATCTGAGGCTCTTTTACAATTAATGTTTTACAGTATATATGCATTGTTTACGAGTATTTGGTGTTGTACTCGTGGAAATATAGATTCCTAGATAACTGAGTTCGTTAATCTGAACAGGAGTGGCACTTTAACCCGACAAAGTGTCATTCGTACTTAGATTTAAATCGAATAGTATTAAAATTAACAGAGAGAAGGTTACTGTTAGAGAAGGAAACGGAGAAACTAAAAGAATGAAAGTAAGAATGTATACATTCTTTGAAGAGTTGATGGAAAAACAAATTTTAAAATATAATAAAAATCTTTTGAGATAAAATTCTCAATTAAAAAAAATCCTGTCTCTACTTTTGTGATTAGCTAAAAATAAATAAAAATAAGTAAAGAAATCGTAGTAGAACCCTTTTCTTCTAGGTATTGTATGCCTTGAAATGGAAGTTGGGAGCAGTTACCTCGGTGAAATTGATTGTAAAACTAACAACGGCGTCCTCTGGCGCCTTATCTTCTCTTGTCGCTTTTATAAAGAGCCATGTTTGGTTTCTTCACACCGGAACAATCGAAAAACTCTCTCCTTTCTCAACTACTACTTCTCCCATTTTCTTTTTCTTCTTTTCCAGTGCCAACAATTTTCCAGGCCGGATTTAAATCTAGAAAGTAAACAAACAAGAAAAAAGAAAACGAAAAATACCATGCTAAACAGAATGGACACATAATGTACGTTCCAATAGAATAATTTCAACTGCAGTTTCATTTAAATGGTTTCGGTATTATTTTCTTCTTAGTGTTTTTTTAGCTTATTTATTAATATTTTAAGATTGTTTGCAAAAAATACATACTTTTTTTTCTCTTTTTCTCTTTTTGTGTTTACCTTTCAAAATCCAGTGTCTTCAGTTGCGATGCTCATTTAAAAATTCATAATTGTATATTTGAGAATAAAAACAGGTAAGTATATGCAGACACACGCACACACACACACACACACACACACACATATATATATATATAATTGTTTTTTTAATTTGAAAAATTTATTTACTGTAAATTAATATATCCATATTTGAATTATTATTATTTTTACGACTACGTTTATATATATATATATATATATATATATATATATATATATATATATATATATTCACCTCCTGTCAAGGTTGACTATAGAAGTAACAGCTATTTGAAACTACTTTTTGAACAGGTAAGATAGCTATTGAAGGGTTGTTTGTGTAAGT